TTTTTTTTCTTATTTATTTTTGCTTGGACGTCTTTCTTTGTGCATAATTTTCAAATTCACACTATTTTTGTTTAGTTTGTACTTGTATTTGTCTATATCTCAACTAATTACTCTTTATATGATCTTAAAACACATTTTATACCAATTGAGAGTATTAGAAACATAATAAGTTGTATTTTTATATTAAAATTATTAAAATATATTTAATAAATTTATGATTTATTTATTTATTTTAATAATTTCAATACCCAAATTATAAAAAAAAATTATAATCCGTATTAATAAAAAAAACATTTTTCTCTTAAAAAAATTAAATTTCATAAAATGCTTGAGCCTGTAGTCATATTTGGTTTCAAACTACTTTGACCATTCCTTTCTTTCTATTGGTCAGAACTTTGATCATTCGTTACTAAATTACAAAAAGAGAAAGAGTAAGGCAAAGAATAATGAATATATCTTTTATGAACTCCTTGAAACTTTGAGTAAAGAATCTTCACTTTTTTTTTTTTTTTTGAAGGAATCTGCACTTTTACTCTCTCTTGAAAAGTATTATTCCCTCCTTCTTCCCAAAGAATGTCATTAGAAGTAACGTTTAATTACTTTTCAAATTCTAATGTTACTGTATTCATAAATTCTTAAAAAAATGAATACTTTCTTATAAAATAATTTGTTTATCCATAAATACAGTCTTATTAATTAATCTAACTCTTAAAAATTTTTGTCCTTTTATAAATTAAGCAAGAAATTATGATAGTTTGAACCAAACAAAGAGGGGAATTTGGTTTTGGAACTTAACAAGACTTCCCAAACAAAGTAGGTATATGGAAAATTATTTTGTAATTTAAATTATTTAAAGTTGTAAAATATCATAAATTAAATTATATACTAAAAATTAAATTAAATTTATAAATTTATTAAAACATTTTTAATAAAATTATTTTTATATTATTTTATTAATAATAATTTAATAATTTTAATATTCAAATTACACTTTTGATGTACTAACTACATTTTAAAACATCAATAATTTATTGATCTGAATAAAAAAGTTCAATTTGTTTTAAACAATGTATCGAATTCAAGTTTTGTGAATAAAAAATTTTTTTTTATGACTCAATTTTAAATTAATTAAAATTCAATTTGGTTATCAAAAATTAAAAAATTAAAAATTAAAACTATACTCTAAAGCATAAATTTCATGTAGAAGAAGCACCATTGACTGAGGTTTACTTCTTCGTCAACCCACTAAACCCACTAAACGACAAGAATAGAAAAAGAAAGGTAAGGAATCCAATTAGACCGAAAATATGCATGCATGGCGCCTAATTTATAGGCATTCATATTCATTCATTCATTCGTATGACAAAGGGGAGAGACCTTCGTATAGACCATAAAGTCTCCGCCAAACGCAGCATACATACACAGCAGCACACTCCACATTCTGCATACGCAAATATGTCCTTACAGTGGGTTCCAGTTCGTAGCTCCGATCGTCCGTACTCAGCGGCTCCCAAAGGTAAAGTTGACGAGGACGAGGCTCCGGCGAAGAAAAAACACGAAATCGCCGGCAGAGGTTTGATCGATTTGGTGTTTTCTTGGACGATAGAAGATATCCGCAACAATCATCTGTACAAAGGCCAGGTTTCCTCTATTTCTCTTTCTTGCTCTACTCTGAAATAGGGTTTCCTTTGCAGATTTTTTTTTTAATAATTATTTTGTTGAAGTCTAATATGGAATGCATTCAGAATGCATGTGTATTTTTAAACTTTTTAAGCAATATATTTTTCATTTTTTTGGAATTCACTTGAATCAAAACAGAGCTTGCTATGGAAAAAGTTGATTCTCCATGTTAAATTGTGGTTATTAGCACAAATGCAGGATGCCTACTGGAATTAAGTTCTTGCAACTTCATGGCTAATTGTTAGCTATATGCTGGTAATCAAATTTTTTCTTCTTCTTTTTTTTTTTTTTTTCTGATAAATTGAAACTTCTGGAATTAGGAAAGACTTTTGTTGAACTAAAACATGTATGTCGCAATTATGGCTTTTGCTTCAGTAACCATGCTGCAATTTTTCCATTTTTTTATTTTTTTAGAGTTTTTTCGAATCCATTTCTGATCAAAGTACAGCATTGAAGGAAAAATTGTTCAAATTAAAGTAATATATCAACGGGAAAGCAGGAGCATACTTGGGGATAAATGACTGAGGCTTGGCTAATTGTTAATCCTTTATTAGTCTATTTTGTCTAAAGCCATGTTCAGGTTGTTTGCTTTAGTAAGGTAAATTAAGACAAACAGAAGTACTTTCTGTTCTTGTTGTTCACTTGGTAACCATTTTGCTATTACTTTTTCTTTGTTTTTCATGATGATCAGGTGAATGAGATCCCGGACAGATTCAACTTGACAAAAGATTACTTGAAGTCATTTGTTCTTCCTCTTATTGAGGAAACACATGCAGACTTGCTCTCAAGCTTGACATCAGTGTCTGGGGCACCTTCATTTGAAATCCGGTCAATCAATATCTCTAAACATCATGAGTACCCGAAAAACTTAGCTTATGAGCTGGTACTAGGAATGAGATGCTTTGAGGACAACAAAGCAATATATGAGCCTGAGCCTGGAGATCTCATCGCTTTAACAGATGTAATGCCAAAATGCATTGCTGACTTGGACAGGCCAAACAGTCCTTATCTCATTGCATATGTCACTGGGGTAGATCGTTATAATCCGAATCATCTCTCAATATTGTCATCAAGACCAATCATGATCGAAGAAAACACACAAAAGAACATGAAAGCCAATCGTTTTGTTGTTTTCCTAACGAACATGACTACAAATATTCGTATATGGAGGGCATTGAACTCACATCCAGAAGGAAAGAACATGAGTCTGATCAAGAAAGTTCTTCAAATGCATCCACCTGTAAGAAATGTGTTTATCTCTAATGTGGCACATACATTATCTCATTCGCTAATTATATCTGACAAGTCATTTATGTCAGTCACTGGTTTTTCTTACATCTGCTTATTGCAGGATGCAGAAACTACATGCTTATGTGAAGAAACTCATGGGGCTGATCTTTATGATCTAAGGACTGTAATCAAATCTTTCAGTTTAAATGATTCTCAAGAAGCTGCAGTTCTGAGTTGTATGGGGACAAGTAAATGTTATCATCAGAATACTGTTAAACTTGTTTGGGGTCCTCCAGGGACAGGAAAAACAAAAACGGTTGGTCTATTGCTGTATGCTCTTCTTAGAATGAAGTGCCGGACAGTCACATGTGCCCCAACTAACACTGCTGTGTTGCAAGTGACATCACGGCTTATGAGCTTTCTTACAGCATCTGCTGAATATGGCACTTATGGACTTGGAGATATTGTTTTATTTGGAAACAGGAAGAGGATGCAGATGGATGATCATGATGACCTTCTTGATATATTTCTTGATTATCGTGCTGAAATGCTTTTTCAGTGTTTGTGTCAGTGGAATGGTACTTTAAGGTCAATCATAGAATTTCTTGAAGACCCTATGCGGCAGTACCATCTGTACTTACAGAGCAATAAAAGGAGCAACAGCAAGGAAGATAGGTGCCAAGAAAATGATCATAAAATTGAAGACAGGGTGATGAGCAGCAACCAAGAGAAGGAAGAGAAGAACTATGGTCAGAACTTTGGGGGCAAAAACACAAAGAAAGTCTGGAGGAAATTGGTCGATCAGGCCTTAAAAGAAAACAAAACCAATGTGAAACAGGTAGCTTCCAGAAAAGGAAAGCATTTAAAGCATAAAAAGAAGGAAGCACTAGATGATACTTCCCAGGAAGAACAAGATGCGGAAGATGAGGATACTCTTACTCTTACTCTTATTGAGTTTGTCAAGAAGTCATTCGATTCCATTAGCCAGCGGCTGAAGTTTTGTATTGTAAATTTGTTCACTCACTTACCAACTCTTTACATTTCATTAGATGAGGTAAAGAAGATGAGGCAGGCTTTTGATTTGCTTCTATTGCTCGATACTTCCTTAAATGGTCTACATAAAAAATTTAGTAAGTCTGAAGATCAACACAGAGTTCATGATAGCATTAAGTGGAGTTCCAGAAGAAAAGATTGCCTGCAGATACTCAAGTCACTTCCTCAGTCATTTTTGGTTCCAGATTTTAAAGATACAAATGAAGTAAAGTATTTTTGCCTGGACAGTGCTTGTCTGCTTTTTTGTACTTCATCAGGCTCTTCTAAATTGCATGTGGCTGGAGAATTTGATTTATTGGTTATTGATGAAGCTGCTCAGCTGAAAGAATGTGAGTCAACAATCCCCTTACAACTTCCAGGTCTCCGCCATGCCATTCTTGTAGGGGATGAGCTTCAACTGCCTGCAATGGTTAAAAGCAAGGTCTTGTGCTTTATGGTCTTTTGTCCTCTTTTCATGTAAAAACTTTTTAAAGAGTTTTAATTTTCTTTCATTCACATAATTTGCACATAATAGATTTCTGAGAAGGCTGGCTTTGGAAGAAGTTTGTTTGAAAGGCTGGTCTGTCTGGGACAAAAAAAACACTTGCTCAATATCCAATATCGGATGCATCCATCTATAAGCTCATTTCCAAATAAGGAATTCTATAACAAGCAGATCTTGGATGCTCCAACAGTCAAAGATAGTAGCTATGCAAAGCGCTTCCTTCACAGAAACATGTATGGCTCTTACTCTTTTATCAATATAGCCTGTGGAAAGGAGCAACTTGATATTGTCCATAGCCGAAAAAATATGGTTGAAGTTGCTGTAGTATGTGAGATAGTTGCAAACCTTTTCAAAGGTATAGAACTATGGAATCTTCTTGTTTTATTCCTTGTAAAAATTTGCCAGGGCTAAGATCATTTCATTTCACTGCAGAGTTCACCCGCAAAAAGGAAAAGTTTAGTGTAGGTGTCATCTCACCCTACAAGGCTCAAGTTTATGCAATTGAAGAGAAACTGGGCAAGAAATATGCTAGAGGTGCAGAAACTGACTTCTCTGTTCGTGTTCGCTCTATTGATGGATTTCAAGGGGATGAGGAAGATCTGATAATCATCTCAACTGTCAGGTGCAATGGGAATGGATCAGTGGGTTTTCTATCCAATCTTCAAAGAACAAATGTGGCACTGACCCGTGCAAGGTATCATGTTTATACACTATAAGTAATGAAACTGAAATATGATTTCATTTGCTTAGACATTCCTAGATTTTGGGTGATTTAAGATTTAATAGTTACTTTCATCTTTTGTAGGCATTGCCTCTGGATTTTAGGAAATGAAGCTACACTGCTTAACAGTCACTCTGTTTGGGAGAAAGTAATCAATGATGCCAAGAAGCGGAGGTGCTTCTACAATGCTGATGAGGACAAGAGTCTGGCTCAGGCAATGACCATTGCCTTGATCGAGCTTCGACAGTTTGATATTCTAATTAACATGGATTCTTTGCTGTTCAAGAACACAAGATGGAAAGTATGTTAACTTCTCTTGCTATTTACAGTTTTTTATGAGTATAGACTATAGAGCTTTTCAGGATTGTCTCTCTCTTGTTAAATGTTTGAGTAGACACCTGCTAGTAACTCTTTGGAACAAACTAATAATTTCTAAAGAGTGCTAAGATAGGCATTTCAAAGATCATCAAGCAGTCAAGCAGTCTTTCAGTATTTCAGTTTGCCATGATTTTCTGCTTCAGCAGTTGAGCAATGATTATGTATCACAAAAGTATCCTAATTCATTCACATTCAAAGACTAAAAGGAAAATTTAGAAATAGTTGTTGAGAATGTTAATAGTTTTCTTATAGTAGTTGCTAATGGATCAGTTTGTCATGTATTCTTCTTTAAATTCATGATTCAGGGAGAAGGAATTGCCTCATAACGTTACTAACTTATGTAGGTGCAACAAACCAAACTAGGGCATATACTCTTGTTCCTAACTTTGATTATTTGGTTTCAAAAATGCTATTTTCATTTCATAACATTTACATATAGAGGCTTACCTTCATTTTAAAATAGGTATGCTTCAGCAATGGTTTCTGGGAATCTGTGGCAACTATTAAGAACACTGAGATTCTTAGGCAATTGCTTACTCTGTTGGAAAAGCTTTCAAGTGGCTGGCGTCTGATGCCAAATAAGAAGACCTGCTGTTATGTCCTGGATAGCTCTTCTGCATTTTTGGAGATATACCCAGTGAATGATCTTTTGAATCTGCTTTGGACTGTGGACATCATTGAGGAAAATTCACACTATATACAAGTTTTGAAGGTCTGGAATATTTTGCCATTACCAGAGGTACCAAAACTTGCGGAGCATCTAGACAGTCTATTTGAGAACTATGCTGTGGATAAGATAAACTGCTGCAAGGAAAGATGCCTGGAGAGGTGTGCTTTTTAATGCTCCATCTGTTCCCTCCCCCCCCCCTTTCCCCCGTATTTTGAATTGAGCAGTCTAATTTAATTAGATTGACAATGTTAGCATATAGTATGATAGAAGGCATGGTCTCAGTGATCCAAACATTTATTTCATATTTCCCCTTTACATCTGGAATATAGACCATATAGTAAAATCTACCTAACACCTGGAAGATTAGAAAAAAGGGAGGTTTAAGAAAAAAAAAAAATTGTTGAAGACACTGCTAATAACTTTCAACTGCTTCAGGAGCTTGGTCGTTCCAATTAGATGGCCAGTTAACTTCGGTAGTGCTACTCAGAGTACTGGCTGTGAAGCTGATTCTGCACAGTCACTGTCAAAAACATTTGCATCACTCAGGATCACTGATGAATCCGGAGCTTCTGCTTCAACTTCGAAGTACGCATTGTATTTGAGTACTTGATAGTTTGTGATTTATAGATGTGGCAAATATTAAGTGATAGAAAAAACAAAGGGTAATAACAACTAAGGATATGTATGTTGTTAGCATAGATAAAAAGTGAAGGCTGTATTGATCTGTTTGAACAATTTGATCTCTAACTCTTAAGACCATACAAAATATCCAACCAACAACTTTAAACTGAAACTATTACATTTCAGATCATTGCAAGACAGCCGCACTCTTTCAGATTTATATCGTTTAATGTTTTCTTTAATGCAGTTTGCTTTGTTTTCCCCCTTCTCTTTTCAATTTTCTGTTACTTTAATTTTGTTAGGACTGGCTAATTTATGAACATTCAATCTCAGGAAAAAGTTGAAGGGAAAAAAGAAGATTAGATAAGCTATTGGATGGAAGACAAGATGGTACTTGGCTTATGGACTATGAAGGTTATTGAGTTGTTCCGTCTCAAAAGAACATGGTGATTGGTGACAAACATTTTGAAGACGCATACAAGCAGCATCTCATCTTGTGCTTTTGAACCCTTAAATAGAGGAAGATTTACTTTTCTGTTTCATATATACTTTGATTCTGTAAAACTTTCTTCACGCCTGTTGTATGTGTGGAATCTGGTGTTGAATCCTATAAAATCAAAAACAGCTACACTGAGAGTGATGGAATTTGATTCGCATGGCAATTCTTGTGAAGGTGACATTTGATCCCAAATTCATTATTTCTTTGTCTATCATTATTTAATTATTTATTTCTCTATAAATAGACATTCTAATTCTTAGCCAAGAGAAAAAAATCTCTTTTTTTTTTTTTTTGGTCCTTTCAATATAATCAACTCAATTTTTAAGGCATTGCTTATAACACATATTAAAAGAATGTACTTATTATACTTTTAATCTATTGCAGTAAAAATTACTCCTAACCTACTGCATTTAAAGTAATAAAATCAATTTACCATTTGGTATTATCATTGTTAAAGTTTGAAAGGGGAAACTAAAAACAAGAAAAAAAAATAAAAATGAAAAGAAAAAAAGAAGAAGAAAAAGAAGAAGAAGAAGAAGAAGAAGAAAATACGTGTATACCAAAAGTCCATGCATGATGCTTAAATTGTATTAATTCATTCATGGGAAAGAGCAAGGGAACAAGAAGACCAAAGAGTGTCAGCCTAACAAAAGTGAAAAAAAAAAAAAAAAGGAACAAAACCAGAGAGCTATCTTCAGCCTTAAGGAGGGTAAAAGCCAGACCTTTCTATTCCTCTTACACTTCAAAAGTCTAAATCTCTGCATACATTAATTTCCTGGGTATGCCCTTTCAGTGGATTTATTCCTTCCTTCCTTCCTTCCTTCCTTCCTTCCTTCCACGGTTCCACTGAAAGGGGAAGCACTGAAAGTTTGCAGTTATGGACAAGACTGATCCGCCCAAGGAACATAAAGATATTCCTGGCAGGAGTTTGATCGATATAGTGTTTTCTTGGAGCCTTAGAGATGTCCTAAATAAAGATCTTTACAAAAGCCAGGTTTGCATCATTTCTAATTGCCTTAGTACTCTTGCTATCCACACTGTAAAATAGGATATTTTGTTGATATAGGTAGGTTACTTCAGAATGTGTACTTCATGGTAAAAACTTTGTAATTTCTCTTTCATTGCTTTAATTTTTAATCATCAGGTCAAGGTGATTCCAGACAAATTTAACTCGACAAAAGCTTACTTGAACTCATTCATTCTTCCTCTCATTGAGGAAACACATGCAGACTTGTTGTCCAGCGTGACAACAGTGCAAAATGCACCTTCACTTCAGATATTGTCATTTGAACCTTCTAAAGATCATAACTCCCCCAAAAACTTAACCTATGATCTGAGGTTCGAGATGGGAGACTTTGAGAAGAGCAAAGGGTCATATGAGCCTTCAGCTGGAGATCTCCTTGCTTTAACTGGTATCAGACCAAAATGCATTGAAGATTTGAACAGGTTGAAAAACCCTTATCTCATTGCATATGTCATTCAGGTGTATTCTGACAATCCTCTGAGACTCTTGATATTGTCATCAAAACCACTCATGGTTGAAGAAAATAAGGAAAACAGGAAGGTCAGTCTTTTTGTTGTTTTTCTGACTAACATGATTACAAATATTCGCATATGGAAGACATTAAACTCAAATCCAGAAGAGGCGAATATGAATGTGATCAAGGAAATTCTTCAACCTAGTCCAGCTGTAAGAGATGTGTTTTAAAAGTATTTCATTCCATTCTCTAATAATTTTTAAAAAGTGATTCATATAATTCACTGATTTTTCTTACATATGTGCTTCTTGCAGGATGGAGAAAATTGTACTAGATGCTTGTATGAAAGAAGTTGTGGCACCAGTCCATCATGTTCAAGGACCATAGTTGAATCTTTTGGTTTAAATGATTCCCAAGAAGCCACTGTTTTGACTTGTATTGGTGATAGTAGTTGTCATCATCAGAATACGGTTAGACTTGTATGGGGTCCTCCAGGGACCGGGAAAACAAAAACTATTGGTGTACTATTGTTTGCTCTTCTTAGAATGAAATGCAGGACAGTTACTTGTGCCCCAACCAACACTGCAGTGTTGCAAGTTGCATCACGGCTCATGAGTTTTGTTTCTGCATCTGCTAAATATCACACATATGGACTTGGAGATATTGTCTTATTTGGTAATAGGGCAAGGATGAAGATTGATGGTAATGATGAGCTTTTGGATATATTTCTTGATAATCGTGTTGATATACTTTCTAAGTGCTTTTGTCCTTTATCTGGATGGAAGGTTAGTTTAAGGTCTATGATAGATTTAATTGAAGATCCTGTTGGTTTGTATTATCGGTATTTAGAAAGTCGTAAAAAGAGCGACAAGAAGGAAGATGATTATAACATTAAAGACAAGGTAATCATCAGGGACCAAGAGAAGGAAGAGGAAAATGTTCATAACTTTGAGCGCAAGAGCAATAACAAAACCAAAGTAAAACAGGTGGCTTCCCATAAGGAAAAAGATGTACAGGAGGCAGAAACATGTGATGATGATCCCCTTACTTGTATTGAGTTTGTCAAGAAAACTTTCAATTCCATTAGCCAGCAGCTTAGGTTTTGTATCGTAAATTTGTGCACTCACTTACCAACTCGGTGCATTTCATTGCAAATGGCAAAAAACATGATGCGAGCCCTTGACATGCTCACATCTTTGGAAATATTGTCCCATGGTGGTGAATTTCTGCAGAAAGACCAGTATAACTCTGAATATGAAATCAAAGTTGATGATCTCAAGAAATTGAGTTTGTCAAGAGAAGAATTCCTGCAGTTACTTAAATCATTTCCTCAGTCTTTCTTGGAAGACATTCCAGATTTTGGTGTAAACATAAAAGACTTTTGCTTGGCAAATGCTTGTCTGCTCTTCTGTACTGCATCAGGCTCTTCTAAATTGCATGGACCCGGAGGATTTGATTTATTGGTTATTGATGAAGCTGCTCAGCTGAAAGAATGCGAGTCCACAATTCCTTTGCAACTTCCAGGCCTTCACCATGCCATTCTCATTGGAGATGAGCGTCAGCTGTCTGCGATGGTCCAAAGCAAGGTTTTTAAGTTTTATGATCCTTTGTCTTCACTTTATTTATGTCATCTATTTGAAAAGTTTTGTTTTATTAACGTAGTTTGTTCAACAGATTGCTGAAAAGGCTGAATTTGGTAGAAGTTTGTTTGAAAGGCTTGCCCTACTGGGACACAAGAAACACTTACTAAATACCCAATATCGGATGCATCCATCTATAAGCTTGTTTCCAAATAAAGAATTCTATAATAAGCAGATTTTAGATGCTCCAACAGTCAAAAATAAAAGCTACATGAAGCAGTTGCTTCAAGGAAACATGTATGGCCCTTACTCTTTTATCAATATATCATGTGGAAAGGAGCAAGCTGATAAGGCACGTAGCCTAAAAAATATGGTTGAAGTTGCGGTGGTATGTGAGATTGTTGCAAGCCTTTTCAAAGGTATAAAATTATGGAGTTTTCTTGATGTTTTATTCCTTTGTAAGTTTGCCAGGCTAACATATCTTCGTTCCTTTACAGAGTTCACCTGCAAAAGACAGAAGTTTAGTGTAGGTGTCATCTCACCCTACAAGGCTCAAGTTTATGCCATTGAAGAGAAATTTGAAAAAAAATATGATAGAAGTGCAGATTCTGACTTCTCCATTAGTGTCCGCTCTGTTGATGGATTTCAAGGGAGTGAGGAGGATGTGATTATCATCTCCACCGTCAGGTCTAATGGGAATGGATCAGTGGGTTTTCTATCCAATCGTCAAAGAGCAAATGTTGCACTGACCCGTGCAAGGTATCATGTTCATACACCATAATACAATGAAACTAAAATGGGATGTCCTTTTCCTGATTAACATGTTTGTTTTGCATAATTTTTGAATTTGATGGTTGTTTTCGTCTTTTACAGGTATTGCTGCTGGATATTGGGGAACGAAGCTACACTGCTGAAAAGTGGCTCTGTTTGGAGGAAATTAGTGATTGATGCCAAGGAGCGAAAATGTTTCTACAATGCTGATGAAGATAAACGTCTTGCTAAGGCAATGACCACTGCTTTGATCGAGCTTGAACAGTTTGAAATTCTATTAAACATGAATTTTCCAATGTTCAAGGATGCAACATGGAAGGTGTGCTAGCTTTTTTTGCCATTTATATTTTGTCAAAGTTATAATTGTTCTTAACTTAGCTTAATTAGAGGCAAAATTTGTATATTTTGATTTATAAAATTTACATACAGCCATATGGTGCCTTACTTTCAATCTCAAATAGGTTTGCTTCAGCGATGGTTTCTGGAGTTCTGTGGCAGGCATTAAGAACACTCAGACTATTAACCAGTTGCTTACTCTGTTGGAAAAGCTTTCAAGTGGCTGGCGCCTGATGCCAAATAAGATGACCCGTTATGTCCTAGATAGTTCTTCTGCATTTTTGGAGCTGTACCCAGTGAATGATCTTTTGAAACTACTTTGGACAGTGGACATCATTAAGGAAAATTCACACTACATACAAGTTTTGAAGCTCTGGGATATTTTGCCATTACAAGATGTACCAAAACTTGCAGAGTATCTCGACAGTCTATTTGTGAACTACACTGTGGATAAGATAAACCGCTGCAAGTATAGATCCCTGGAGAGGTGTGCTTTCTATTGCCATGCTTTAGTTTTATCTTCATCTACCCTGTTATTGTGTCATATATGGAGAAAGAGTATGGAAAACTTTGGTCATAAAATTTTGAGTGTTTCAGGGGTTTGGTTGTTCCAATGAAATGGCCGGTTAACCACAGTGGTGTAGTTCGGAGTATTGGGTATGAAGCTGATTCTGCACAGTTGCTTTCAGAAACGTTTGCAGCACTTGGAATTGTTGATGGATCCATTCCAACCGCTACAACCTCTAGTAAGCCCTGTATTTGAATTTTTGACAGCTGTTTAGTATCCAATCTACTGCTTTAATCTATTTCAATGTAATAGTTACCTCGGGTTGTTTTGTGGATTAGATCAAAGATTGAAGTACAGCAGAGAGGAGATACTTGCACTCCAGCATTCACCTTTGTCTCTAAACTCTCCAGTTGATACAGGTATTATAAATATCAGAGTAGATTCATTTTGTTTCTTTAGTTTTCTGAGTACAAGCTGACTTTATAATAAATATCAAATTTCAGGAAAAGTTGAAGCCAGTAGTGAATTGGAAAAGCTACTGGTTGGAAGACAATTGAGATGTTAATCTGCATATATAGTGAGGAGCTGGATAGTTCAGATGTCCTCAAGAACAGATATCTTGCATTTAAAGCAAGATTCCTTTTAAGTACATTTTAAGTGTCTCATTTGTTGTTCTGAACCCTAAATAGAGGGGAAAAAAAACTGCTACTGAGCCCTAATTAAAGCAACCTCAGAGTGTGCTGGATTGATATTATGTTGTTCCTGCTACATATTTTTGCAATCCCATCTAATAACTCGTGCATGGCTGTATTGATATGTTTGAACAATTTGATCCCTAATTCTAAGACCTTACAAAATATCCAACCAATCCAACCAACAACTTTAAACTGAAACTATTACATTTCAGATCATTGCAAGACATCCGCACTCTTTCAAATTTATATTGTTTAATGTTTTCTTTAATGCAGTCTGCTTTGTTTTCCCCCTTTTCTTTTCAATTTTCTGTAACTTTAATTTCGGTAGGACTAGCTGATTTACGAACATTCAATCTCAGGAAAAAGTTGAAGGGGAAAAGGAAGATTGGATAAGCTATTGGAAGACAAGATGGTACTTGGCTTATGCACTATGAAGGTTATTGAGTTGTTCCGTCTCAAAAGAACATGGTGATTGGTGATAAACATTTTGAAGACGCATACAAGCAGCATCTCATCTTGTGCTTTTGAACCCTTAAATAGAGGAAGATTTACTTTTCTGCTTCATATATGCTTTGATTATATGTAAAACTTTCTTCACGCCTGTTGTATGTGTGGAATATGGTATTGAATCCTATAAAACCAGAAAAAGCTATATTGAGAGTGATGGAATTTGATTCCCATGGCAATTCTTGTGGAGGTGGCATTTGACC